AATTGTAAATGTAATATCATTAACTAAGAACTTATTAATGTTCGATGCACATAGAATAAGTGTAAAACAAGGTTATTTTTTGGTAATGAAACATTTATAAACTGTTATCTGTTTGGACTAACATATAAGTGTACTACATAAAAGCACTTTGTAAGTGCAGCAGATATTATCATTATAATGTATAGTTATTGTATTTAATGATAAATAGTATAACCTAATTTTAAAAAACCTAAACATTTGGCTAAGCAATAGTTTATTCTATTTTTAAATTAACAACTTTTCTGCTTTATTGCTTTTACTAAAAGGTTTTTATTTTTAAATCAAGGATAAAAGAAAACCAATTTATTTTTAGAATTTATTTTTATTCCCATTAAACTTTTTTAACTTTCTAAATTATCTTTCCTTTAGTTTTTAGTGAGTTTTGTTGAATAATAACGTAAGTAGCAGCAGTAATATATGAGCTCTTACTGTTATGATGCACAGCTATATGACAGATACTGCTTGCTTAGTCTTTAGAATTTTGAAGGTAACTATTTAATAAACCACTGTTTGTATTCATAAAATAAAATGTTTCCTCCCCAACATGCAAAATTAAAAAAACACACATAAATAACCATTATCATTAGTTCACAAACATATGCTATGGACCATCTACTATATATTATTTTATAGCTTTTCCAATGTAGTTTAGCTAACATTTTAGAAATATGTATTATTTCTAAATTCATATGCCTGTTTAAACTTCATTATCTCAAATGATACTGACAGAATGTCATGAAACAGTATCATAATATACATATAGACATTATTTTGATGCAATAAACATGTGATTTTTAAGACTTTCTTAATAAACACACATGTTTATTCTTTGCTGAAACATGTTTCTGCAAGTGCCATACCTATATTTTGCAAGTTTCTATTTACCCGATGAAGCCAGTCTTGCCAAAAACGTCTTTTCCTTTGAAAGCTCCTTGTAATTAGGAACAAGAGCCCTTACTCATTAGATAAAGCCATTGTTTTTCCTTCCAGGAAACCTCTCCTTCACCAAATTGCTAAACTGCAAAACATGGGTTTGGCACTGAAACATGCATTTTTATATTTTTGCTCCTTACTAACCAGATAACACATGAGATGCAATGAAACTCCCACAAAGTAAACCTTGTGTTATTGGTATCTCTGAGCACGAAGCTATGTGACCAGTACTAGATTGGTAGATCCTGCTGGCGTAGCAATTGCATCTTATGTGGGATGTATCTGGTGTTTTATTATTTGTTTTAGAGTGTCATTTCAATGTAATGTGCTGTTCTTTGTGTCTTTGTTGTCTCTTTTTTTTCTTTGTCCCCCCAACAGCATTTTGTCCCGCACAGGGAAGAAGGAAAACCAAGATGCCTCCAATTTGACAGTGCCCATGACCATGTGTCTTTTTCCTGTGCCATTCCCACTCACCCCATCTCTAAGACCGCAGGTCAGTTCCATCAACCCTACTGTTACTCGCTCCCTCCTTTACAGCGTCCTGCGAGATGCTCCCTCAGAACGCGGCCCGCAAAGTCGTGATGCTCAGTTGTCAGACTACCCTTCTTTGGACTACCAAGGCCTCTACGTGACTTTGGTGACTCTCCTGGATCTAGTTCCTTTACTACAGCACGGCCAACACGGTGAGCACTTCCTTGAAACCTTTGGGAATACATATGGCTATTTGTGAATATGATGCTGAGCAAGGGGCTTGGGGACTATTATTGTAATAAATTGCTTGAAAGGGCTTTGTGTGGTTAAAGCCTTTCTTACACTGAAACTTGATTATGGTGTTTCCCGTACTATCATTTTCCACTGTTGTATTGCCAGAGGGATGCTATCCAAGTGGGTCAGTACTGGGGAGAATGGAGGCTGGAGAAAGGAGGAAGAATATAACAAGAAATTCTCTCTTCTCTCCTGATTGGCTTATCATGGGGACTCTTGTTGAAATTGTGATTGGAGAGCTAAGATTTAAAAATTTGCACCCAGAAAATGTAAGAAGTGGAGATTGAAAAGCAGGCTCTAAGCCGCTGACTGATTCTGTAATTTTTGGGGACAAATCGCAGAAATGCTCTGGGACTCATTTTTCCTGACTTTAAAGTCAGAAGGTTACATGAGAAGTAATCTCTAAGAGCTCTTCCCAATGTAACTAACCATCAAGAGTTGTAACAAAATATCGTACAAAATGTCGGTACAGTATATGGTGGAGCTATGCTGTGTACAGTCTGTAGTATCAGTGGTGCTACATGTGTATGCATTATGTATACAGGATACGGTATTAGTGGTGCTTAGAGCAGAAGCCTAAGCGCATGCTTCTTTTCTCAACTCTTCCCTCTTTCTACTGTGTGTTCTAAGTCAATTTCATTATCTTGCTTCCTTACCAAATTCTTCCAATCCATAAAAAGGATTACAATAATACCTACTGCTTAACTATCCAATATATATTTGGGAGAATCAAATGGAAAACCATACAATAAGAAAAGGGATTTTTGCAGAAAATGCACATTAGTTGTCTTAACTTTCAAGCACTGATAATTTGTTCCATGGAAGTACGATAACCAAAGTTTCACTGTACAGAAAAATTGGAATTTTGAAAAATGGGTGGGTGGTGGAGGTTATTTTGTCTTTTGGTTATGTTTAACTCTCCTAAGAGAATGCTTAATGGTTTATTTAGTATGATGTGTTCCTAATTTAAAAATTTTTTAAAAAATCTACTTAGATAAAATTGATGAAATAATGAGTATTGAATTTGTTTTTTAATATATTTACCATTCTGTATTATAGTGAATATAAAAAGTATAGAAATTTGTAAAGTTGCTTATTGTATGATTCTGTAGCCATCTTAAGCCCAGCCACTTTTACTGTGATCCTCTGCCGGCTCAGAGCTTGAGTGAGAGCATTCTGAACACAAGACTGCAGAGCTTACTCTGGCAGTGAACTTGTCAGTGCCTTTCCTTTGTGACTAGCAGTTCTGAGCTCACTGGGGACCTGCCTGGTCCTGGGTTGGTCCTCTGCGTTAGGGCAGCTGCTCTTTATCCTCAAAGGCCATTGATTAAGATAAAGACATTTGATTTGGTAAATTGCAACCTATACAATTGCAATTAATGTGTAAATTGTGACAATTTTAGGGAAGAAGATTTGTATTTTTGCTGTTATACCTACAGCTGTTTTGTGACTTTATTCTTCGTTGTTATTATATTTAGCTATTGTGTTCTTGTTCTTCATAATAGAGCTTAGAAGATAAGGAAAAACTCACTAGACCATTCTAGTGAATGGTTTAGAGAAACATGCAGTATTGTTTCTCTGCGAGTGGTCTGAAGAACCTCAGAATCACTTAGGGAGTTTGGAAGATGGAATGCTGGGTCCCTTCCTGGGATTTGAACAAGAATCACTGAAGGGGTGGATCCTGAGGATGTGGAATTTTAGCAAGCTGCCTGTGGACACACTGAATTTGAGAACCACTGCCCTATGGCTAGAGGCTGTGTCCTCCCACTGGGCTGGGTGTTGCATGGGGAGAGCCTTAGGTAGCCTTTTTGTCTCAGCTCAGCCACTAACTCTCAAGGGATCTTGGGCAATCGCTACTCATCATTGGACCTCAGTTTCTTTGTATGAAAAATACTCCAGGTGGGCTCTCAGACCCCTTTCCATACCAATGTTCTGTAATTAAGCTAAAAAGACTCAGTAAAAACAGCCTCACTTAATTCTTAGTAAAACAGCTGTGGACTTTCCATTTCATTGATTTGAGCTCAAGGGTGACTGACTCTGGCTCCCCAGTGTGCAGCATGGCCAGACCTTCTCTGTTGTCAGTTGATGTGCCTTTGAGACGGCATGTTAATTCTAATGATAATCAGAAATAGCATTAGAAATCAAAATAACGCTAAGAAGGTAACTCTGCTGCAAGCCAAACAAGAGTCTAATCCTTCTCTATAATAAATGAATATGAAGACTGTTGAAGTCGTCACTGCTGAGTCTTAGCTGATGGCCTATATTTTGGTAGGTCCATGAAAATCACGATGTACGTTCCATGTAATGAGCTTTGGTCTACATGCATTCTAAAGCTAAAGAGTTATGGTTTTTTGAATGTCCTCTATTTTTACTCCTTGTGCAGGTAATAATAGTAACTATTAATATTAATAATAGCAGCTAATATTTGTGGAGCACACATTATGTGCTATGCTAAGCACTTTACATTTATCTCATTTAAATCTCCTAACAATCCTCCTAATGAAGTGAGGTAGGTATTATTATTATCCCCATTTAAAAATGTTGATAGAAAGATTATTATTAGGTAGCACTTCCATGACAACTAATGACGAAATGCCCGGTTCGTGGAATACCAGCTTACGGCTTCCTTTCTTAGGCATTTGCTGAATTGCTGCATTGCTGGAGGTTGCAAATGACCTCATTGCCCAGGACTCAGATGTAGGACCATTGCAATTTAGTTCATAGAGCAGAAATAGCCTGTTTTATTTCTAGTCCTGCCCTTGACTTTTCTAAAACTTCCATTGGGCAAATAATCTAACTTCTTTGGGCTTCAGTTATCTTGTGTAAAATGTAATGCAGGTAAAAATGCTGGAAGGATTTCAGAATTCATTTTCACATGGGAGGTCCTTTAAATTTATGAGATCAAGGAGTAATATGAATACCAAGTATTATTGAAAATTGATAAGGCATGGATGAAAAGCTTGTGTAATAGATATTTATATTTCTTAATATAAATATTCGTTGACCAACTACTGTATACATAGCACACTATTCTAAGCAGTATGTTTCAGAACACTTAATAGCAAGGAAGCAATGGTTGCTTATAATTTAAACCGGTTTATTAAAACTTAAAATATAAAATTAGCATATTTTGTTGATTGCAAAATATTCAGCGACTGATTACTCAATTCTGTTTTGTAGATCTTGGACAGTCAATATTTTATACAACTACATGTTTGCTACCCTTTCTCAATGATGATATTCTGAGTACTTTGCCCTACACGATGATATCAACGTTAGCTACCTTTCCTCCATTTCTGCACAAGGATATTATTGAATATCTTAGCACATCTTTTCTACCAATGGCTATATGTAAGTTCATTCTCATCTAATACTAGACTATTTTTGTGTATTATATGAATGGAAATTGCTGTTGCTCTTGTAGAGTTTCAAGATTTTAACGGATTCATTTGCTGTATATGTGTGCTATGATTTAAATTTGTCATTTCAGCGTGAATATTATGAAAATCAAGGAAATGAAAGGCCATTATACCTTAGAATTGTTTTATTCACATAGTTGGATCTTATAAAATAGGAAGAAAGGACATATCAAGGTGGTCTATATTCCTATGTATAAATTTCAGTATTTTTTGCCACTTTAGAAAAAAGTCGGAGTTAGTGTTGTCTCAGATGTAGAAATTCTTATCTTTTGCATCTGAAGGCAATAAGGTGTGACAGAAAGAGCAAGATACAGTCACAATGTGTAGAGTCTTGTCCCAGCTCTGTCCCTAATTTGCTGTGAGATGCTGGGCAACTCACACGGTTGAAACCTCATCTGCAGAATGACAATCCTGTCGGCATTCCCTTGCAGGGGATAAAATGAGTCAAAATTTATGAAAACACTTTGAAAAAAACCTAAAGCCTACAACTCATGTCAAGGTACAGTTATAAACACAGAACTGATTTGAATTCTATTTCGCTTTTATAGACTTAATTCTGTAGGCTTTCCAGACATGAGAGCAAAGAGAAAAAGAAAAGTTGAGTAGTGGTTTTATGACCAAAATCCTTCTAAAGTATTTTTTAAAGAAACGGATTGTGGATCAATTTATGTTCCAGTGGATGTGGATCAATCTGTGTTCCAGCGGATAATCTGAAAAGATTGTGGGTTTAGGAGTCAAACGGATCTAGATTCATATCACAGCTCAGCCACCAGCTAGCTATGTGATCGTAGGCAAGTTATTTAACTTTCTGTTTCTTACCTGTTCGATGAAAATGATAAGTAATAATAGTTACTTCACGGGGTGGTTGTGATAATTAAGATGATTAACCTGGAGCACTGGTAAAGTGCTAGAGCAATGCCTAGTATGTGATGTGTTAGTTTCTTTCTCTCTTTCCCTCAACTCTTATACTAGAAAACTACCTTCATTGGTTGCATTCATCTCCTAGAGATCATTGTTCACCATTTTAATTTTATGTACTTCTCAAAGTTGTTGCTCTGAACTACATTTGCTTATTTTATACTCAAGTTTAATTTTAGCTATGGAATTGTAATTTTTTTTTTAATTTTCTTCTTTCCAGCAAAGAGTCTGACTTCTGCCTACATTACATAGCAATTTGAAAAAATTAGCAGACTGATCATACCATTCAAGTTATAGAATATTTGATCATTCTTTTTTTATTGTTCTGTGTAAACTTACTGACAAGTACTTATTTATGGATGTAGTCTTAGAATTGCATAGTAACATTTTTAAAAGTAACTAATGTTAACTGTTAAACTTAGGCGTAGGAATTTTTGTTTTTTTGAAGAATGACAGATGAGGCTGTATCTTTCTAATAATTAATCTAATTCACTGAATTCCTACTTCTTAGGAATAAGTTAATAATTTTGGGAGAGGCATTGAAAATATCAGGCCTCTGAAGTTATATTTAAGATTGATCAAGTATTGTGACATCTGGCAATTTGTTTCTTTACACTTGATTATTAATTTCTACTTAATTAGAAACACAGATCCCAAAACACAACTAGTAGTCACGTTAGAATCCTTACTTACGCAAAGGTACAAACCTTGGCAACTGAGGAGAATAGTGAAGTAACTTGAGTTCATTTAAAGGTATCAACAAGTCACTTCATGTCCCTGAGACACCATTTTTTTCAACCATAAAGGAGGGGTTTGAAAAAACATATTCACTCTCTTAAGATTATTTCTGGCGTAGTAACTCTAGTTTAAATAACATCAATCTTATTTTATATAAGAGGCACATTATCTTCCTCTAATCCAATGATTGCTCTGGTCCATGTGTTTATTTTGTTGCCCTAGTTTTAGTTTCCTAGTTTTGACTTTCTTTTCTTATCATCATTCCCGTGGTTCAATAGTAGCCAATCTTTGTCATCTTCAAATCTTTGAAAATAAATTGTAGCGCCAACCTTTACAGCAAATTCTATTGCTATTCAGGCGTTCCCTTTGCAGTTCTTATTGCATGAGGTAGATACAAAGACAGATTCACAGATAGAAGGGATCTGGTTCCAGAGAAGTCAGATTAAAATGGATCGATGTGACAATGTGTGTCTGTTTATTTTATCCACGTTGTTTCTTTTTTTGGTAGTTGTTTCAGGCCTAGAAATTCTGACCAAAACAAGAAAGGAGCATTTAACTTCTCCCAGAATATTTTTATTTCAGGACTGAATTGTTAGGATGAAGGATGGTGCATTTTCTGAGTGCCTGATAAAGTCTTTGAGACAAAAAAGGCTTTTATCTCTTTGGTGTGGTATTCATGAGGTCAAACATAAAACATGGATGGTTTTTCTGGTGTTAAATGATTTGATCGTTTAGGACCTAGAAGATGAAGTTCTGGGCCTAATGAGGCGTTGCAGTTCCTACAGAGGAAGAGGCCTGCGTGTGTATCAGATTCGTCCTCCTTGCCATCTTCGTCAGTAAACCAAGTGCTGGGCTTTTACTTTTAAATGACTCCTTTGAGGTTCTGCAGAGCAAACTTTAATTTATTTATTATAAAATTTTCCTTTGACGCAGCTTTTCTTTTTAACTCCTTCCATAAATAAAATATATTTCTCTTTATTCCAAATGTGTGCAATATGCTTTATGCTTGTTTATAAAAAATATATTAAAGGAATTACTAAGAATTGAAAAAGTCATTTGCATGTCACCGTAGAAACCCCTCTTTTTCCAATAGAGAATCTGTGATTTATGGACCGAATTGAAAGTGGATGTTTAGCAGAGGATGCTTTGGCAGAGAAGAGAAAAAGCTGATTCTAAATGGACGTTAATTGGTGTATTATTTAAAGATAATAACAAAGCTGAACAATTATGTCAGTTCAAGATGTTTCTAGTGTATCCTCGTATCCTGGACTGCACAGTCTCATCTACTTTCTTTTCTAACTTAAATTTTCTCAAAAAGTCACTTCTCCTCAGGAAAAATAAAGATTCGCTCAAATCTTTGCGTTGACCTAAAAGCAATTGTATAACTTCATTGAATGTCTGGTTCCAGATCATTGGCCCTAGATCATTTTTTTGTTCCATTGCTACTACTATAGAGTATGTGTGTTATGTTTCTATAATCTTCCAAAGACTCAGTAATACATAGAAAAAAAAGACAGTAAAAAAATGAAAAATATTAATTATACTTAAACAATCTTTAATATGTGCAATCTATTTTATTAGCTAGTGATTGTTTTTATAAGGTAGATCTTGTTATACTTTAAGAGATTTATACAGGAATCCAGAAGAGCCGAGATATAGTTCTTCGACTGTTGGCAAATCTCTTAACCTCTTCCATCTTTAGTTTCCTTAGCTGTAAAATGGTGAATAATCTAAACTTCCACTGTCCACATCCCACATTTGTTGTGAAGACCATGAGATAACATATGGGAATAGCCTTTGAACACTGTTTGCAAGTGTGTAACAGACCAAGTGCACAGTCAAATAGAGACATGTCAAATCACGCTGCAACTAATTCCAATGTTCTGTTGAAGTTCACATGTTGTCCTGAAATTTTGCCATCTTATGTATTGCTTGAGGTAAGAGGCCATGTGCTAGGGCTCAAGATTTTCTTCTTCTAGGGTTTGTTGTAGAATAGCAATAATTATTATAGCAGGTTTCAAACTCAGAGAGACTTGACAGAAGACTTCTGTGGCGTTGATGGGCATTCTGTCTCTGATTTTTCACTGAGCTACCAATCTGCAAATACTTAGTGCTGCATAGACTTTGAGGTCACATTGTCTTAGTCTTTCTTTTATGTTTAACTGATATGCCCTCCTGAAGGCGTGGATATCTTACGCTCAAACCTGGTTTCAGGGAACACAGTTCCCTCTGCTCACACAAACAGGAGGCCTGAGTAGAGGAGAGACCACTTGTTAATCCAGGCAATGCAGTCTGGCAAATCACAGGAAATGGTTCTGTCATATGGTAAAACTGGCACCAGAGCATGTTTCTTCTTCCCAAATGACTTCCTTACCTACACCCTTTAGAAAAATATAAGGCCAGTGGGGTTTATTTCATTATATACCAATTCAGACCACTTCTTACCACCAATTGTCATCTAGACCTGTGGTCCCCACCCCCTGGGCCGTGGCCCCATACCAGTCTGTGGCCTATTAGGAACTAGGCCACCTGAGCTCTGCCCTGCCCCAACATCCCATGGAAAAATTGTCTTTCATGACACGAGTTCCTGGTGCCAAAAAGGTTGGGGACCACTGATCTAGACCAGTCCGGTAGTTTCTGCACTGATCTCCCTGCTTCTCCTCTTAGCCCTCTTACTGCCTGTTCTCCACCAAAAAGCCAGAGCTGGCCAGGCTCAGTGGTGCATGCCTGTGGTCCTAGCTACTTGGGAGGCTGAGGCAGGAGGATCTTGTGAGGCCAGGAGTTCAAGATCAGCCTGATCAACATAGGGAAACCCCCATCTCTACAAAAAAATAAAAAAAATTAGCCAGATGTGGTGGCACATGCCTGTAGTCCCAGTTACTTGGGAGGCCGAAGTGGGAGGATTGCTTGAGCCCAGGAGTTCAAGGTTGCAGTGAGCTATGATCATGCCACTGCACTCCAGCCTGGGTGACAGACTGAGACCTTGTTTCTGAAAAAAATAAAAAAAAAATTAAGAAAATAAAGAAAACCAGAGCTATCCTTTGAACATATTAATCAAATCATGCCACTTTCTTCAGCAAACCCACCTAGCTTCCGTCACTCTTACAAATCAAGTTGAGCATCCTTACTTGGTTGGCTCACAGGGTCCTCTGTGATCTGCCCCTGCCTACCTTCCTGCTTTCATCATTGTCTCCTTGTGTTCACTCTGCTCTAGGAGCCTCAGCCTTCTGCAGTTTCATAAAGGCACTAAGATTTTGCCCTCACTCTATGCTTTAT